TTTCCTTCCCAAAGGCTGTCAGGCGGGCGACGACGATGAACGCGGAGTCGCTCAGTCTCCAGATTCGGCTTGCACTCTTGGGCTTCGGCATGCCGATATGAAGGTGATCTCCGCGACGCTCGACGCCTCATTCGCCCCGATCGCGCAGCAGACGACGTCTCTGGCGCAGCGCAGGTCGCCAATTCACGACCGACGTCCTCGAACTCGACGCGATGGCACGCGTGGCGTCTATGGCGCCGCAGGCGGAGACCAAGTGTCCGCTCCGAGTGGCGCTGGACTTCGGTCAGGCGTTCCCCAGCCTTAGTCAGGAGCATATCTTCGCGATCCTGGAACAGCTGCAGCTTGTTGGCGCGCAACTGGCGGCATTTCGGTCGCTCTGCGCGGTGGCCATCGCGGTCGGCCGCGTTGCGGGGCTCACGCGGGGCCTTCCAGATTCTCTGCGGCATCGTGCAAGGCTGCGCGCTGCCTGGCAGCCCTTGCGCCGTGGCGGCGCCCCCTTTTTCCTGCGGATATCTGGCTCGGCTTGGGGGTTCACATCGGGGGCTCTTTCGTGCGTGCGCGTAGTGGTTGCATTCTCTGCGGTCGCGTCGATCTTCGCTTCCTTCGCCGAGTCACGGCTGTCGCCGAGAAGCTCGCGGGCAAGAAGCCCGAGCCGCCGAAGTGCGTGGTCGCCCCGCTCGCAGGCGCGCATTGGCCCGCCCCAGTTGCCGCCGCTTCGGATTATTCAGAGTTGCGCATTGCGGATTGGAGGGCATCCAAAATAGAGGCTGCACGATTAGACTTGGGCACGCGGCTCGGGCCTGGCGCCTCCGCTATGCCACCCTGAGAAGTGTCTTGGGCCAAATGCAGCTCCAGAGTGGCAGCGCTGGCAGCATCTTCGGCGCCTGCTTCTCTGAACGTATGTGGCTCGGTCTCTGCCGCCACCCGCGCAGCTGCAGCAATTTCGGATTCGCGTCTCGGCGCGCCTCATTCGGTTTCCTGGAGGAACTCTGCGGTGCATCGGCTTCTACTGTCTTGGACAATGGGGCGGCCCCGAGCTGCGCGCTCTCGCGCCTTGGCGCAAGGCTGCTCGTATTCGGTCGGGACTGTCCAGTTATCCCGAGCATACGGGGTGTCTTCGTCGCCTTCGCGCTGCGGCTGAGCGGTGGGCTCCGCGGAGGTGCTCGGCCGACCTCGCGGGCAACTTGCCATCGCACTTCTGGGAACTACCAGCTTTGGTCGAGTATCTGGCGCAGGCGACAAACGCCAACAATTCCCCTGGAGCGACATCAGCCAAGGTTTTGCTTCGCGAACGCCCCGCTGCTCGGCGACTGGTTCAACGCGCGGCCTACAGCGCCATTCTTCATGACATGCTGAGCCCCTTCCTGACGGGCACCATCGACTGCGACTCCCCTCTGGTCGACGCCATTATTCGTCGATGGTCCAGGTGGTTTCCGCACAAGAGCGCCGAGCTTCGTGGGTTATCTTGGGCTGCTCTTCAAATGAAGCTCAGGTCGTTCCCTATGGCTTCGGCGTCCTCTACGTTGCGAGGGCTCTGTGGCGGCTGACTCACCTCGGCGAGGATATCCACCCCCACTGGGGCTCCGCTCATGCATCTTCGGGCATGAGGGGTGCAATGATGAGATGGTCACAACTGGGAGCGTCGTGGTCTAAGATGGGGCACGCGATGGCCAAGTCGGGTGGCAGGCGCCCGCTCCCCGGCAATGTTCTCGACCGTTGGGGGCTTCGCGGGGCACTCGACGACGATCTCATGAACGCCCAGATGGCTGCCATCATATACCACGACCTGTGGCACCTCGATTTCGTCGCCCCTGGCGCGCTGCTCCACGCAGCGCGCGGCGCCATTCGTGCACGCGCGCTTGCCCACCATGCCGCAGGAAGAGCTTTTGTGTCTAAGCGACCGCCGTCTCCACAGGTATCGTTTCAACCGGCGTTTATCATCGATGCCCCGGTTGGCATTAGTCAAATCTTGCTCAAACGGTTGTGGTTCCCCAGTGAACTGATCACATTGTGGGCGCGTAAATGGACGCCGCCCCTGTACCGATGGGCCCCGCAGCGCCTAAACTTCGAGGACTGGGTGGTCTGGGGCACGGACATGGTTGCTGACATCTTCCTGTATCGCGCTTTCATGGGGCTCTTCTCGTCGGCGGTGCCGTCGGCGAACGTGCGAATAACCCTCAGCTCCGCGATGGCGCACGTGAGATGGCACAACTCAGCAGTCGGTCGGCAACGGCTGCTTGGGCATCTTTCTGGGCCTTGGCCCGAGCGTGGACCTTCGCGCCGCCGTGCACTTCAGGTTCGTGGTGAGCAACGCCTTGCCCTTGGGTATTGGGTGCACTCAGAAGCTGCCGCGCTCCCTCATGTCTGGGAGCTTCTTCTTCTGCTTCTTATTTTTCTTCTTCTTTTTCCCGCGCGCCCGAGAGACCGCGGGCTTCTCGCGGAACTGGCGGTCGACGCAGACGCGGACCTTTGCGCTGCGACCTCGCGCAGCGAACCCCAAGTGCTGGGCATGGAGAAGCTTGGTTGTGCTGTCGGGGACCGCGAACCTGCGTCTCCATCGGGGCCGTGTACGACACCGTCTAGTTTGAGTTTCTCCCCGATCTCGGTCGCGCCGTCTTCGTCGATTTCGTCCTTCGGCTTCCGCGCGACTTGGAGCGCCCGCTCCGGCGCCTGCTCTCGCGGCTCCTGATCGCCCTGGCGCCCCAGGTGGGCCGCCGCAGCTACCTCCCGAAATCCAAGCACAGCGTTTCTGCTTGGGCCCAGCACTGGCTCCCATCTTTGCATGCACGCGCCGTGGGCAGCGGTTTTCAGCCGTGGATGGAGTGGCGTGCCCCCCACGTTGCCGACTTGCTGCGGCACGTATGTTTTCGACCTTCCTGCCAACTTCGCCGCGACAGCTTAGCTCAGCCCCGACGAGTGCTAGTAGCAGATGGAATCTCACGATTGAGCTCTGCATGAGTGGGTGGTATTCATCAGCAATCCTACGCGAGCAGACACGGATGCACATTCGCAATCCTCGGCCGCTTCACGACCACAAGCGCATCGCCATCACCCGACGCAGGGAGCTGGCGCACTTGCGGCAGAGGAGCTGGGTCGCCAACATCACGCGCATGCACGATTCTGTGCTGGACAACTTCCGTGCAGTGCAAAGGGTCTTTCGATCTGGTCCACCGGCGCCGCTGTTTTCACGCCTTCATCCGCTGCCGTGCCTCCCCACACCCGGCTTGTGCAACGGTGTTGCGGCTGAAGATGAAGGCCCTGGTGAAGGCGATGATAGTATTGATCGCGGTGGGTACCCCATCCCGACCGACGGAGACATTGCCCTCATAAGCGAATCTGCGTTTGCTGATGATGAGGGCGCTGACGGCCCTAGCCCAATTCACCAGTCGCCCAATGAAGATGATGCGTTGGACCCTTCGGAGTATGCTCATCATTTTGGCCCTATTCTTGTTGGCGCAGAGTTTGAGGCTCAACTCCAAGCTGCGATCCGCCGCTCGCGTGACGGACGCAACGACACCCCCAGAGATCCGACGGCGGCGTCGTCTGGCGAGCCGCCCCCCCGGTATACCTCCACCTCTTGCCGTGAGCCCTGCTGCCTCGGACAGCCGCAGTGACGACGTCGACTTCGACCCTGTCATGGCAAAACATGGGTTCGGCGTTGTCCGTCCTGACGGCATTGTGGGAGGATCGTCCACTGCTCTCTCAGATGACCAGTCGGCTGGCACTCTGACGGCAGTGGGGGCGTTCGCCGCGACCGCGCCTGAAGACCGGCGAGGTCTTGGCGTCCCCCATGGTGGTCCTCAGTCTGGTACGTCGGTTGGAACTCCGACGGCGGCGGGGGCCTCCCCCGCGACCGCGCACGATGAACAGCCTCTTGCAGGTGGTGCCTCTGGTGGAGTTCACACTGGCACGTCGGCTGGAAGCCCGACGGCGGTGGGCCCCCCCCGCGACCGCGCAGGCGCAAGAGTCACCTGCTGCTGACGCCCCTGCTGAAGTACACTCTGGCATGTCGGTTGGGACTCCGACGGCGGCGGCCCCCCCCTTGCGACCGCGCAAGTGTAAGAGCCGCTCGCAGCTGGCTGATGCCCCTGCTGATGTGCACTCTGGCATGTCGGCTTGAACCCCGACGGCGGCGGGGGCCTCCCCCGTGACCGCGCATGACGCCGCCGGGCACCATGCAGGCGGCCCTCGCGGAGCAGAACTGTCACACTTGACGGCTGGGTGTCTGACGGCGGCGGGGGCCTCCCCCCGCGACCGCACATGAAGTCGCGCCTCCTGCTGGCGCTCCACCTGGCGCAGGTCAGTCTAATCTGTCGGTTGCGAGCCCCACGGCGGCGTTGGCCTCCCCCGCGACCGCGCGGAAGCTAAGGCCTCTTGCTGGCGAGCCACCTGGTCCAGGTCACGCGCACATGTCGGCTGGAAGTCCGACGGCGGCGGGGGCCTTCCCCGCGACCGCGCCCCAGGACTTGCTGCTGGCGCTGCGCACCTGGAGTTCGGCTGTCTCTGGGGCTGAATAACTGGGCGCTGCGGTGCGCCGACGCCCCCGCTCAGGCTCACCCTGATACGCTCGCGGCTGCCCAGGTGCTTGCTGCTGCCCAGTGCGTGGACAACACCTACTCGCGCAGCGCTGACCAGCGGGAGATGGTGATGTGGATGCTGAATAAGCCAGACCCGTTGCTTGAAACCGCTTCAAGTTCGTCGGGGCGCCGATCACCTACGTTTGCGGATGGTGCGGCGACTCCTGCTCCAGAGGGCTCAGGCGACGAGGACTTGCTCATAACAGCGGCCGCCGACGAGGAGCTCGCAGGCGATGGCGACGATATGCAGGCTGACCTTCTCAATGACCACTTCGAGGACGGCTCGGTTGAGAATGGTGAAGAGGGGGTGGCATCCCCTGAATTGGTAGCGGCTGCGCAAAGTAGCGAGCACCCTGCAGGCCTCTACGATTATACCACGACGAGCGGGGATTCTCCGACGGTGAAAGAGCTATCCCCGCCGAGGAGCACGACACAGCAGCTCCGCTCCATCAGTTCTTCACTTCGTCCGATGTGCAGGCCTCGAGCGCTGGCGACTACAATGGTCTGGCGCTGGCTACCGCCGAGGCTCTTCAAGGGGCGGTTGCTGCGCTGGGCGCCTGCGCAGCTCCGAGCGCGGGCAACCACGGCATTGCTGAAGCTGCTGCGAGTTCTGACGCTGATCTTCAGCCTGGCATCCCCGCTGTCCACGGGGGCATGGCCGCCGCCGTCCCCTCAGACGAGGTTGACGGCTTCTACGGCAACTGCGACACGTCCGAGGAGCTGGTGGACAACGGCTCCGAGGCCCTGAGGACAGGCCCCGCGGCCGCCGCGGGCGGTGGCGTGCGCGCTGCCTAACGAGGATGGTGGACGGTGCGCCTCTCTATGGCGTGGGATTTTTCTCTGTTTCGTTCCTCCTCGTACTCGTCCTCCATCCTTTCTCCTCCTCCTCCTCCTCCTCCTCCTCCTCCTCCTCCTCCTCCTCCTCCTCCTCCTCCTCCTCCTCCCCCTCCTCGTCCTCGTCCTCGTCCTCCTCATCCTCCTCAATCTCTTCCTCCTCGTACTCATTATTCTCCTCGTGCTTGTTTTCCTGCTCTTTGTCGTCCTGCTCCCATCGCTGTCCTCCCCCTCATCCACGCCGTCGTCTTCGGCATCCGACGCCTTGTCGTCGCCATCATCCATAACAACCCAATGGACAAAATCGGCGCTTCCCGTTTTTGCTCGATCAGGTTTGAAGCGGAGCAACCGTGTCCAGCTTGTGCGGTCCCGTTCGGTTGGGGGTGGCATGCCGTGCCGCTTGGTGCTGTGTCGCGTCGTTCCCCAATGCGCATTTTCGCCAGGCGTGCTGTGCCGTGCCATGCGTTGTCGCGAGGTGTTGTCTACTTCCCTGTATGTGCCATGTCGCGTCGTGTTCCCACTTCGTGAGTCCGTCGGGCACGCCGAGCCGTATGGTGTCGCGACGTGTTCCACGAGCGTGATCCCGTCGGGCGTACCGCGCCGAGGCGTGTCCGTAGTTCGGTGTTTCGCTTGGCGTGCTGTTTCCGCTCCGTGCCGTGCCGTGCCGTGCATGGCCAGCTCGTAGTACCACCGTGTGTGGTTTGATGTGTGTCCTGCAGTGTTCCTCGGAGGCGACGAGGGGGGCGAACAGCCCAGGGGGAGCAACACATGCATCCATGGGCGCCGATGCTCCATGCCTTCGGCGAGGGTCCCGGGCGACTGCGTGCGACGCCCGCCCCTGGGGCTATTCGCCCCCATCTTCGCCGCCGAGCTCCTGGCTCCGTCAGGCACGGCATGTCGCGGCGTGTCGCCCATCTCCCTTGCCGTCGGTCGTGCCGTGTCGTGCCGCGCTCCGATGCTCGAATCCGCAGTGGCGTCGTGCGCGCGGTGCCGTGCCGCCGCCCCGCTCGGCGTGCTTAAGGTCGTGCCCCTGGCGCGGCGTGCCGACGGCTCGGTATGCGTGGCTGTGCGTGCACGCGGCCCGCCCCGCGCGGCCCAGCCGTTTGCACTTGGCATCGCTCGGACGTGTGTTTTTTTTCCTTCGGCGAGGACCATCGAGGAGAATCCTTGATCATGTGGCGAAGAAAACCACGCACGAAACCGAAAAAATCACAGGGAATAGACGTCCGAGCGATGGCAGGTTGCAGAGTCGGGCGGGGTTCGTGCTGGGCGTGCCCCGCCCCGGCTCCTCGCTGCACTGGCGCCCGGCGGCCGCCGGAGAAGGGCTGTGCGTGAGCGTCGTGTGCGGTGTCTGCTGTTCCTGTGGGGTTGGAGTGGGCACTGGTCGTCGTGGCTCGATTCGGTCGTCGTGTTCAGGGCCGCGTGGAGGGGTGCTCTAATCACGCTCTGCGTCCCCCGAAGTGGTGCACGCCTGCTCGGGACCAGCACAGAAGCATCGAGCCCGTGATTCTGCCCGAGCGGGGGCCCAGCCCGACGGGCACGCTGAGCCTGTAGGAGGGCATGGGCGCAGAGAGGAACCATCAAGACAAGCAGCAAGAATGGGGGAGCGAGCCAGGGAGGGAAGGGAGCGAGGAGGCTGCGGGAGACAAGAATAATAATGCATGGGCGGGATGTCCGCGTGTTTTTGCTCAGTGCTCTCGGTGTTCTCAGCTCGTACGCGCACACTTGCAGTTGACTTGCGCTTTTGAGCGCATCTCACAAATACCTGGTCAGGATGCTTTGCACCAGACCTCTCAAGGCTTCCATATTCATACTCGGGAGTTCCCAAGCTGTCGGGGTAAGCGTCAATGGCGTGGGCACGGTGAGAATGAGGAGCCGCGACGTTGAATGGCTAAAGGGTGTCAGCGTAGATGGTGACAATGAGTGCAGCGTGGAAGATGAATGTATTGTCGGATCCGGCTTGGGCAAGTGCACGGTGATGGTGGACCCCGCCAAGACGATTCCGTTGGGCAGCACTGACGCGGGGTATCATTCCGAGTTTCTCTTCAACAGCACCACGGTGTCGCAGGGCGAATCTTCCCAGTACCCCACGCCAATATCCGACATTACCATCGCAGGTCATTCGCACATGTCGCATTGGAACCTTTGCTGGAAGTCTAGCATCGATCGCAACGCCTTGCGGGAAAAAAGTGTGGAGGACTATTGTTACCACGTGAACGGTATCTGTTTCCTTTGGGCCTCTCCGTGCTCTGGCGGATGTTCCAAACTTGAGGACCTCACATCGTACTCGTCCTTCTGCCCTAGGCTGCGCTACGCCACGTCAGAGGAGTTTACGTCTGCGTTGCCTGCTCTGAATGCAGGCCGAGATGAGTTCTACAAGAAATGCGCAGCAAGCCGACTGGACCCACGGTGGAACCATTGCGATTATGGCAATAATTTCGGGCGGGTGGAGGATAATTCATGGAACGACTTGGTTCTGGTTTGTGATAGTTCTGCAACCCTTGGCGCGACTTCCGGCCAGGAACAGGTGCAGACTACCACGTCAGAGCGCGTTTCTGCACCCGCCATCGCGAAGTCCAACCAGGGCCAGGTGCGCGCGAAGCCCACCGAAGCAGAGTTCCGCACCCCCTTGAACGGTACAGATTCTGGCGCCGAAGCCCGGGCGGTTGCCGGGGGAGCCGGGGCAGACGGAGCCGCAGCTGCCATTGGCGATCCCCATTTACAAAATATTCATGGAGAGCGGTTCGATTTGATGAGGCCTGGCAAGCACGTTCTGATCCACATCCCTCGGGGAGGGTCTGTCGAGAACACGATGTTCCGTGTAGATGCCGAGGCGAGCCGATTGGGTGACGAATGCACAGACATGTACTTCCAAGAGATCAACATCACAGGACAGTGGGTGGAGGCGAGACTGGCTGGCGGTCTTCGTTTCGAAGCTCAGGGTGGGGTCGACGAGTCGCCGAGCTGGTTGCAGTTTGGAAAGGTGCAGGTGAAGGTTGCCCACGGGCGGACCCGGCAGGGCATCCAGTACTTGAACTTCTACGTCAAGCACCTCGGGCACGTCGGATTCGCTGTCGGGGGGCTGCTGGGGGAAGATGATCACGGTGAGGCAGCGATGCCTTCGAAGGAGTGCGTACACCGCATGTCCCTTTTCTCACTGCCTTCAGCATACTTCCCGTCTTCCCTCGTTTCCTTGCCTTCGCGCGAAGATATTTAGGCATACTTCGCACTGTTGCACTCGCTGTGCAGCGAGAACGAGCCTGAACCTGGGACGGCTCCTTCTGATTTGAAACATGTGTTCGTACGGTCACGGCGTCGGATATCCATCGTGGTCTGCCCAAGATCTTTAGCGATTATCGCATCATTCCCCGACTTGCGTTTGCGTCCACGTGGTTCCTACCCTGTTTCCATAGAGCAGCTGGCCGGGTCTGCCGGACGTGCGCCTGGTTGGCGTCCCTTGGGTGTCTCATAGGAGCCATATGAGCGTTGGGTGGGTTTGCCGGGTGTTCCGCTCGTGGGCGCCTCGTGGGCGCCTCGTGGGCGCCTCGTGCGCGCCCTCGTGGGCGTCTCGTGGGCGTCTCGTGGGCGCCTCGTGGGCGCCTCGTGGGCGCCCTTGGGTGTCTCGTGGTGCGTTGGTCGGGTCTGCCAGGTCGCCCTTCGGGGCGCCTCGTGGGCGCCTCGTGCGCTGGCCGGGTCTGCCGCGTGGTCGGCCAGGCGCCGTCCGTGGGCGCCCCGTGGGCGCCCCAGTGTGTGTATGTATGCATGCATGTATGTATGCCTGTAGGTGTGTATGTATGTGTGGATACATGCATGTATGCATGCACGCACACATGCATGTATGTATGTCCGTATGTATGGTTACATGCATATGTATGAATGCAAGTTCGTATGCATGTATGTATGTATGTATGCACGTACGTACGTATGTACGTACGTACGAACGTATGTATGTATGTATGTATGCTTGTATGTATGTACGTACGCACGTATGTACGTACGTATGTATGTATGTATGTGTATGTATGTGTATGTATGTATGTATATATGTATGTAGGTATGTTTGTATGTATGTATGTTTGTATGTATGTATGTATATGTATGTATATGTATGTATGTATGTATGTATGTATGTATGTATGTATGTATGTATGTACGTATGTGTGTATGTGTGTATGTATATGTGTATGTATGTATGTATGTATGTATGTATGTATGTATGTATGTATACATGTATACATATATGGATGGGTGCATGTGTGTATGTATGTATGTATGTATGTATGTTTGTATGTATGTATGTATGTATGTATGTATGTATGTATGTATGTATGTATGTATGCGTGTGTATGTATGTATGCGTGTATGTAATGTAGTGTAATGTAATGTAATATAATGTAATGTAATGGAATGTAATGTAATGTAGTGCAATGTAATGTAATGCAATGTAACGTAATGCAATGTATGCATGCGTGCATGCATGTATGCATGCATGTATGTATGTATGTATGGTTGTGCGTGTATATGTATGTATGCATACATGCACGTATGTGTGTATGCATGTCGATATGTGCGTATGTATGCATGCATGCAGGCATGCATTCATGTATGTATGTATGAGTGTATGTATGCATGCATGCATGCATGCATGCATGTTTGTATGTGTGTACGTATGGAGTTATGTATGTATGTATGACTGTATGACTGTATGTATGCATGAATCCATGTCGGTCTGTCTGTCTGTCTGTCTGTCTGTCTGTCTGTCTGTGTGCCTGTCTGTCTGTCTGCCAGTCTGTCTGTCTGTCTGTCTGGATGGATGGATGGATGGATGGATGGATGGATGGATGGATGGATGTAGTCGGAGTGTTGGTCTGCCCTCCGCCCCCCCCCGCACACAATTACAAATGGGTTCACTCCCTGGGTAGCCCCCAGGTCGCGGGGCTTGTTTTCGGCCCTTTGCGGGGCAGTTTCACCGCCGGGAGCACTCCAAGAGCATCCACGATAGCTTCCAGACAGCCTAGGAGGCCTCCCAGACGACCCCATAGCGCCCCACGAGCATTCCAAGAACGCTTAAGATGGCCTCAAGACAGCCCAAGGGGCCCCCAAGAGGGCCCCCGCGAGGCAAGCATCGTCCCATTCCCTCCGGAAAACGTACACGTTTAGCATCTTCGTTTGTTCGGTATCGAGAGCGTCCAAGGTGGCCCAAGAAGCCTCCAAGATCGCCCCAAGACGGTCCAGGAGGCCCCCCAGAGAGCCCCAGTTCTTGTTGCGTTGGGGGCGTGTGTTGGGGCTGTGTGTGTGTGTGTGTGTTCTCGGGTGGTCCTTCGAGAACGATGGGGTGCTAGGAGGCCTGTTGTCGGCGCGGGGCTCGGGGGTTCGGAAAATGACAGGGGGGGCTTCGAGAAGGAAGGGGTACAGCCGTGGCCTCGGAGGCCCCGCATAGGTCCACGAAACCGCGACGACGTCGTAAACGATCCCCGAGCTTCGGTGTCTCATTTGTCATGGACGCAGGGCGAGAGTGAGGCGCACCTGGGCGTCGAAGGCCTTTTTGATCCCCCTCCTCCATCCCTCCCCAAAGTGAATGCCAGATTGGAATGTCCGCGAATGGCCGATGCCAGCAAGCTACACAGAAACACTGAAGCGAAGAGCCAGGGCGTCGAAGGCCTTTTTGTTTCCCCCTCCTCCTCCCTCCCCAAAGTGGACGCCACATCGGAATGTCCGCGAAGGGCCGATGCCAGCCAGCTACACAGAAATACTCAAGCGACGAGTCGGGGTAGGATCAAGGAGGCAGGAAGCGGAAGGAGGAGCAGGAAATCTGGATCAGGTAAGTCGTCGGCCCCAGGGGGCACAGGTGGGAAGATCTGGCCAGCCCTGGAACAGAAGCGCCTTCTCCTTGAGCGCTCGTGGTCGTCGGGGCCTGTCGAGGCTATGGAGGTGGTCTGGGGCGCTGCGCGCGAGTTCCAAGTGGCCGAAGTGGCGGGCCAGAGAAGCCTTAGGGCCCTTGGGGCTCCCGGGGAGCTGGCGCCACGAGGACCCCCGAGGCCTTCCAGATTCTATCGAAGACGCCTACGGCGAATCACCGCCGCCCCCTGCCTTTTTGGAAGTGCCTATGTGGCCGAACGTTGAGGCCAGACCTGCCAAGCTATCGGACCATGTGTTCCCCGAATCGGTTTGGAAAGTCTTCGGGGAACACGTGGGTATCTTGAAGGTCATCTTGGCCGCCTGGAGGCCATTTTGACCCTTTCGGGCCTTCTTGGAGGACGTCTTGGAGGGCTCTCGGGCCGTCTTGGAGGCCATCTTGAGCGTTTTGGAGGCCTCTTGGGCCGTCTTGGGGGCCTCTTTGGGCCGTCTTGGGCGATCTTTGGGGGCACTTGGGCCGTCTCGGGCCGTCGGAAGAACGAAAAAAAGCAAATGCCAAAATCATTCAAAAGCTCTTAGGGAAATCAGCCTTTGCGAGCCTTCCTGGAGGCCCTCTTGGAGGCCTCTTGGGCCGTCTTGGGCCATCTTAAGGCCATCTTCGGCCGTCTTGGTGGGTTCCTGGCACGTCTGACGCCGTCGGGAGCCGTCTTGGGGGCCTCTCTGGGCCGACTTGGGGCCCTCTTGGGGGCCGTCTTGGGGCCCTCTTGGGGCCGTCTTGGAGGCCACTTGGGCCGTCATGGGGCCCCTTTGGGGGCCTCTTGAACGATCTTGAGGGCCTCTTGGGCCGTCTTGGGCCGTCGGAAAACCGAAAAGGCGCAAACACCAAAATCGTTCAAAAACCAAGGAAAATCAATGATTTTGGCCTCTTCGGGCCTTCCTGGAGGACCTCTTGGAGGCCTCTTGGGCCGTCTTGGAGGTCTCTTGGGGGCCTATTGGGCAGTTTTGGGCCATCTTGAGGCCATCTTAGGGCGTCTTGGGTGCACCTCGGGCCGTCTTGGAGGCATCTTGGGGCCATTTTAGCCGTCTTGGAGGCCATCTTGGCCCTCTTGGAGGCGTCTTGGAGGCCATCTTGGACGATCTTGGGGAACGTCTGGAATGGAAAAGCCCTTTGCAACCATCTCTGGAAGATCTTTCGGCATCCTCCCGGGACCCCAGCAGGACGCGCCGGAGCCCACTGGGAGATTTCTTTTGGAAAAGAACCAAAACCAAAATCGTAAGAAGTTCAGCACGCCAGGCACCCCTGTGATGAATCAACAGGGGGCGGCGGATCGAAGACGCCTACGGCGAACCACCGCCGCCCCCTGCCTTTTTGGAAGCGCCTAATTATGTGGCCGATCGTTGAGGCCAGACCTGCCAAGCCATCGGACCATGTGTTCCCCGAATCGGTTTGGAAAGCCTTCGGGGAACACGTGGGCATCTTGAAGGTCTTCTTGGCCGTCTTGGAGGCCTCTTGGGCGATCTTTCGGCGATCTTTGGGGGCTCTTGGGCCGTCTCGAGCCGTCGGAAGGCCGAAAAGACGGAAATATCAAAATCCGTCAAAAACCACAGGAAAATCAATGTTTTTGGCCTCTTCTGGCCTTCCTGGAGGCCCTCTTAGGGGCCTCTTGGGCCGCCTTGGGCCAGCTTCGAGCCAACTTCGGCCATCTTGGTGGGTTCCTGGCACGTCTGACGCCGTCGGGAGCCGTCTTGGGGGCCTTTCCAGGCCAACGGGGGACCCTCTTGGGGCGCTTCGGGGCCGTCTTGGAGGCCATCATGGGCGTCTTGGAGGCCATCTTGGGCGTGTTGGAGGCCTCTTGGGCCGTCTTGGGGCCCTCTTGGGGCCATCTTGGAGGCCACGGCCGTCATGGGGCCCTCTTGGGCGATCTTGGGGGCCTCTTGGGCCGTCTTGAGCCGTCGGAATGCCGAGAAGAAGCAAATTCCAAAGTCCTTCAAAAACCTAGGGAAAAGCAATAATTTTGGCCTCTTCGGGCCCTCCTGGAGGACCTCTTGGAGGCCTCTTGGGCCGTCTGGGAGGCCTCTGGGGGGCCTCTTGGGCCGTCTTGGGCCGTCTTGGACTCTCTTGGGCCGTCTTGGAGGCCGTCTTGGACCATCTTGGGCGAACTTGGAGGCCATCTTGGGCCATCTTCGCGATTTTTGGAGTACGTCCCGAGCGAAACGGCCGTTTCAGGGAGGATTGTTCGTAGAGCCTGCGCTCCTGGGCAATCCTCCCGGGACCCCGGCGGGACGGGCCGAAGCCCACTGCGAGAGTTCTTTGGGGAAAAGAACCAAAACCAAAACCGATAGGATCCAGCACGCCAGGCATCCCTGCGATGAATCGACAGGGGGCGACGGATCGAATGGCCTTCGGCCCATCCCGCCACCGTGCCGAGGTTGTGGGTATGAGGCCTCTTGGATATTCGTCGGGATCTCTTGGGAGGCTTTCCGGGGGTCTCTTTCTAGCAGTCTCGAAGCCTCTGGGGGGGTGTTTTGGGCCCTCGTGGGGCGTATTTTGGTTTGGGCCTCTTGGGGCGTCTTGGGGGCCTTGGGGGGCCCTCTTGGGGGCTTCTTGGGGCATCTTGGGGACCTCTTGGGGCCTCCTGGGAGCCGCTTGGGGTGGAAGGCTAGAATTTTCGGTTCGGACTCGCCTTCTCTGGCCCTCTTGGCGCCGTCTTGGGGTTCTCTTGGGCCGTCTTGGGCGCCTCTTGGGCCGTCTTGGAAACCTCCTGGGCCGTCTTGGGGTCCTCTTGCGAGCCTCCGGGGCCGTTTTGGGGCGGGTTTGGAGGCCTTTTGGACAGTTTTCCACGCCGTGATGGCCGACAAGTCGTAGAGCTAGAAATCTACGTTTTCCTCTACGACTTTGACGATTTTGGCCTCTTGGGGTCCTTTCGGGAGTGCTTGCGGAGGTCTCGTGGGACGTCTTGGAGGCCTCTTGGGCCGTCTTGGAGCCATCTTCGGCGTCTTGGAACGATCTTTGGGCGTCTCGGGGCCCTCGTGGACCGTCTTCGGCGCCTCTTGGAGCATTCTTGGTCCGTTTTGGGCCCCCCAGGGATGGCCCAGGAGAGCCTCGGGGACCCCCAGGGCCTTCCAGATTCTGTTGGGGGTGGGGGGGGGCCATGCTTGTCAGTTTCCTTATGTGAAAATTATTAAGGGATATACATAATAATTTGCGCATGCTGTCTCTGTTTACCTGCTCTGCCCTCACACTTCGCTCCGCACTCGATTGTCCTGGCCAATTCTGCGCGCAACCCTCGGACCCTGATACCTTTACGGTCCAAGGCCCAGGCACCTGGCCACAATCAAGGCGAACCCAGAACCCCAGAACCTTGCGCATCCACAGGGAACCAGGACGCTAGAAGCATACCAGACCTTACGCTGCTGTGGACCCTGGAAGCGGGCGTCTGGAGCCCGGGATACAGTCGGGGCGCTGAGGAAGGAACCCTTTTCGTTGGGGAGGGGCTCGGTGTTCCTTAGTTGTTTTGCAGTTCGCCTTTGGTTTTGCTTAGGGTTTCGATGGGAAATCAAAGTTTGACTTATGGGGAAAAGGGGCCTCGTTCCTTATTTAGGGTTCCTTAGGTCAACGCCTCGACGGTACCAGACCTTACACTGCCGTGGACCCTGGAAGCGGGCAGCTGGAGCCCGGGATATCCCAGAGGCTGGGAGTCCTGGAACGTGGAACTTGGCAGCCCGGTCGATCGACCCGACTCCGGATCCGCGGTACTTTGGTTGATTCTCCGACTTAAAATTGCGTCGGAAATGCACCCCGAGAGAGGCGAAAAAGTAATGCGGAAAATTGCCGCCTCACGAAAGTACGGCGGAAATTTCCGCACTACTTTTTGACTGCTTCATTCGTCGCCCAGCGCGCGCTGAAACAAAGCGCGTATTTTTCGAATCGAACCACAGCAGAGGAAGGCGCATCCAGAGTCAGGTTCGCGGGGCGCCTCCTCTCGCAACCACGCGGAACACTGCGTCAGGGCGAGGGGGCCGAACTGTTTTACACTGTCCCCAGGTGCGTAGTTGACCAAAGAATCCACGATGCGGAGTGTTGTTTTTGTCTGGTCGTCGTCGCCCCGCGGCCCGAGCCGCGGCCTGCCCGCGACCCGCCGCGCGACCTGCCCGCGAGCTGCCCGACGACCTGCCCGCGATCCTCGCTGCGACCCGCCCTTAAGCGACAAACATCAAGTTTTGGCTCGCCATTTGGAGTTCTCCCCAGCCCTGTGCTGTGGCCTCCTGCGCGCTCGATGTACATATTGCCGTGGGCCGTGACTTTGGCAGCGTGCTTATATGTAGCCGCCTCCCCCGTCCTCCACCAACCCTGCGGTTAGCGCGAATCTAAATACGTAAGAATCTCGGGTTCGACCTCGGGCGCCCCAGCCAAAACAGTCGACGGGCCTCCCCTTCCCCTTCCTCCTTTTCCTCCTCCTCCTCCTCCTCCTCCTCCTCCTTCTCCCCCTCTCCCTCATTGCCATTATCGTCACCTTCCTGCCCGAAGTAAGGGCCCGAGTTTCGGCCACGTTCGAAGTACAGACCTGCCGCTAAGCTGGCGGGCCCATCACTCCAAAGCGCTGTCTGCGCGCCCCCCCTCGACAACACAAAATGGGAGGAGGATGGGAGAAGGAGGAGGAGGAGGAGGAGGAGGAGGAGGAGGAGGAATAATGAGAGGATAACGAGGACGAGGAGGGGGTAACCTGAGAAGGATGGGGGGGAAGGGGGACGAGGATAGAAGGGGGAGGGAGGAGGAAGGGGAGGAGGAGGAAGGAAAGGATAGGAATATAGGCGGAGGACAGGGGGGATAAGTGGAGGAAGAGGGGAGGAGGAGAAGGAGGAGGAGGAGGAGGAGGACGACGACGACGACGACGAAGAGGACGAGGAAGGAGAGGAGGATGAGGAGCAGGAGGAGGAGGGGGGAAGGGAGGGAGGGAAGCAGCGGCAGCAGCAGCAAGCAACGGAGTGCAGCGTCGTCGCCGTTGCCGCTGCTGCTTCCGCCACTGCTGCCGCCAGAGCTGCTGGTGTCAAAGCCGCTGGTGCGGCTGCCGTTGCTCCTTCTCCTGCTCCAGGTCCTTCGATGCTGCTGCGGCTTCGCTCCTCCTCCGTCCTCCGTCCTCCGTCCTCCGTCCTCCGTCCTCCTCCTCCTCCTCCTCCTCCTCCTCCTCCTCCTCCTCCGTCCTTTTCCTCCTCGTCCTCCTCGTCCTCCCTCCCCCTCGTCTTCCCTCCTCTTCCCCTCCTCCCTTGCCCTCCCCCTCCCCCCCTGCTGCTGCTGGCCCCTCGCCCTTCCTTCCCCCGCTGCCCCTGCTGCTCCTGGCCCCTCTCCCCTTCCTTCCCCCGGGAGCGGCGCGGCGCGCGCTGGGCGGCGCAGGGGAAGGCCGCGCCGCCCCCGCTGCGCACCGCCACCCGGCGAGCCTGGAGGCGGGGCCGCGTCGGCCCAGCGGGCGGGCGGGGAGAGGGGGGGGGGGAAGGCGAGGGAGGGGAGGGGAGCGGGACGGAGGAAGGGGGGGAGAGGGCGAGGGAGGGGGGCGGGCGAGGGAGGGGAGGGGAGAGGCGGAGGAGGGCCCGAAAATCAAATCATAAAACTTGCAGGCCGCGAATAAAACCTCTTGATTCCCGCGCGAGACAATACGCACGAACAACATAACGCGGGCTGTTGCGCGAGGCGGGAGGAGAGGAAGAGGAGGGGGGGAGAAGGAGGAGGGGGAGGAGGAGGAGGAGGAGGAGGAGGAGTGGAGTGAGGAGGAGGAGGAGGAGGAGGAGGAGGAGGAGGAGGAGGAGGAGGAGGAGGAGGAGGATGAGGAGGGGGAGGATGTGTTTTTTTTTGTGCGCAAGTACAGGTGTCTCGATTTCTTGCCCCACTTTAATTAGGGCGTCTCGAGACAGGCAAACGACTCCATATGGGCATCGCGGAGCCGAGCTGGTCATTAGCACGCACAGCAGCCTAATGGCACAATTTGAATTCCGCAAAAAAACGCCGCGCTGTTTCCTGGCCCCCCACCGTGAATTTCAACGCGCTGGAGAGTTGGGCCGCCGCCGTTCGAAGGCCGATTTTGCCAGCACCGTGCTCTTTCATGATCTTCTTGATCGCAACTTTTTGGTTCGGCTTCAGCTCGCCCGCCTTCTCCAGGGTGGATTTCCTCCCCGAAACTTTGGCGTCGCCACTCGTCGTGATCATCTTAAGGGACAACTTGTGCTTCAGCCGCTTGGTCTTCTTGATGCTCTTCTTGATGTTCTTGGCTCGGTTTTCCCGGCCGTCCTTCAATCGGTAGTTCACCAAGTCTTTTTCCAGTTCAACGCGTGCGAATTCAATTCGCCGCATGAAGACCTACACTGGGCAGGCGTCGTGGTCGAAGAGGCCTGGCGAGTCCGCTACGATGATTGTCACGCCCAGCTTCTTGCTGAGGTCAAAAATCTCCTCGGCTACTTTGGCCGAGCGGGCCACCGCGCGGCTTTCGCCGACGACGAGCTTCTTGGTCCCCTGGCTGGCCTCCCCAAGCAGACGCTTGAATGTACCCCTTTTGGGCGGCCACGGCAATCGGTAGCGCAAACCATGGATTCCAGATGTTGCCCGTCCCCTCCCTCCCCGCCCCCTCTCGCTCTGATTGCGTGGCTGCCCAGACCTCTCCGCTAGCGGCAAGCTCCCGCTGATGCGCTCGCTCACGAACTTGACGTCCTCCCCGTAACCGCGCGCAGCCGCAAGGGCCTGTTTTTTCTGCCGTGCTTGACTCCCTCTGTTGGCTCCTGCATTTGCTGCTGAGCTCGTCCTCGAATACACGATGGTCTGCTCGCGCGCCATCTTGCGGCTCGTAGCCTTGCGGGGCGCCATGTTGCACTGAGGGGCGACAGCAAAACAGCGGCTCGCGGCAGCAGAATGCTTGAGCCAACGGCGTGCTGATGATGGCGATGGCGATGCTGATGCAGAAGCGCATGCGATGAGCACGATGTGGCTGATGCTGATGCTGATCGCCCCATGCTGTTCCACTCCACTCCAATCCAGGCCCTCCAACCCCACGGGGGCCCTCAGGCGCTCTGTGGACTATCTGAGGCCATGTCAAGGCCTCCGTGACGGCATCGGAGGGCCCCGCATGACTTCAAAGGCGTCCAGGACGGCCCCCAAGAGGCATCCAAGAGGGCATTCGAACCAGCAGAAACGGTACGCAATTGAGCCCAAGGGGGCGGAGGAGGATGAGGAGGGCGAGAAGGAGGAGGGAGGGTAGGAAGGGACCAGGACGGCGAGGAAGAGGAGGATGTGGGAGGAGGAGGAGGAGAAGGAGGAGGAGGAGGAGGAGGAGGAGGAGGAGGAGGAGGAGGAGGAGGAGGAGGATGCGGTCCGAAGAGTACCGGTATCGGTGTCTTGTCGGCTCTAGGGCAGCCAGGAGCCGCCGGCTCCCTGGAACCGGCCTCAGGACTCCTACCCCCCCCGCCCTCCCCCCCCTCTCCCCCTCCCTCCCTGGCCCCCGCCCCCCGCCCGGCCGCCTCTCCCCGCCCCCATCTGGGGGCCGCCGCAGCCAGAAAAAGGTATGAAAATTTGTTCATACCTTTTTGGCCCGGGGGGGTGGATAGCCAGGGGGGTGGATAGCCCGAGGACGGCCCTCTGAGTTGATAGCCAGGGGGGTGGAGCCCGCGCCCCGCGGGGCTTCGCAGGCGGCGATAGCGGAGGGAATTCGTTATTTGTCTCCCCTGGCAGACGAAGACTGACTGATTGACTGACTGACTGACTGCGCGTCAGGGGTTTCATATTCTGGCCCAGGGGCCCGCCATAAACGTCCTACCCGGAAAGGCCGACCCTGGGGAAGGTGACATGAGCCCAGAGCGGCAGAGAGGGCTCTGCCGTAGAGGACGGCGTCGTCGTCGTCGTCGTCGTCGTCGTCGTCGTCGTCGTCGTCGTCCTCGTCGTCGTCGTCGTCGTCGTCGTCTTCGTCGTCGTCGTCCTCGTCCTCGTCGTCGTCGTCGTCGTCGTCGTCGCCGTCGTCGTCGTCGTCGTCGTCGTCGTCGTCCGTCCTCGTCGTCGTCGTCGTCGTCGTCGTCGTCGTCGTCGTCGTCGTCGTCCGTCGTCGTCGTCGTCGTCGTCGTCGTCGTCGTCGTCGTCGTTTTTTTTTTTTTTTTTTTTTTTTTTTTTTTTTTTTCGTCGTCGTCGTCGTCGTCGTCGCCGTCGTCGTCGTCGTCGTCGTCGTCGTCGTCGTCCGTCCTCGTCGTCGTCGTCGTCGTCGTCGTCGTCGTCGCCCCCGTCGTCGTCGTCGTCGACCCCGTGGGCGTCGTCGCCGTGCGGTATGGGGCACCAATGCTGGTCCACGAGTGGTAATTTTCGTTGCGACTGGGACCCCAAACCGTCCGCCGAAATTGCTTCCCGGTGTTGCTTTTTGCAAGAATTCATGTGGAAAACGAGAAAATGTTCTCGAAAACGAGAAGATTTTCTCGAAAACGAGAAGATTTTCTCGTTTTCGAGAAAATATTCTCGATTTCGAGAAAATTTTCTCGTTTTCCAAATATCTGCTTGTACTCTTTGAAGAAAAAAAGATGCGACCTGGGACAGAAACGGTCCGATCCAGCGAACCCCCGCCACTGCCACTGGTGAGAGGGAAGCTGGAGTTGTGTGGAGGCCCCTGCACGCAAGGCGCGCGTGCGACTTCAGCGGGAGGGCGAATCGTTTCTCTCAGGGGCTGATGTGCACGCATGTCTGCACCCAGTCGTTCACTGTCCCGAGGAGGAGGAAGAAGAGCAGAGGAGGAGGAGGAGGAGGAGGAGGAGGAGGAGGAGGAGGAGGCGGAGGGAGATGAGAAAGCCAAGAGAAAGACAAACTGCACTGGGTGGTGCCCCCCCTTCCCCTGGAGAGCTGAGCGTGGAGGACAAGCCGGCCGACGGGGCCGCCGGCAAGGCAAAGGCCAAAGGCAAGGCGAAGGGCAAGGCCGCGGGCAAGAGCACGGCCAAGGGAAAGGCCAAGAGCAAGGCCAAACCCAAGAAACATTGAGCGGCACAGGGCGCCTGGGAGGAGGAGGAGGAGGAGGAGGAGGAGGAGGAGGAGGAGGAGGAGGAGGCGGAAGGGGTGGAGTAAGAAGAGGAGAAGGAGGAGGAGGCTGTGATGAGGAGAGGCAGGGGGGGGGTGCAAGAGGGTGGAGGAGGAGCGTGGGTAGGAGCAGGAGTAGGTGCAGGAACCAGACTGGAATGACGAGGAGTATGCGTGGGAGGAGGACGACGAGGGGGAGGAGGACAAACAGGAGGAGTAGGAGGGGGAAGATGGGGATGAGGATAAGGCGGCGGAGGAGGAAGGGGACGACGAGGAGGATGGAGAGGAGGAGGGGGAGGCGGATGGGGGGCAAAAGAAGGAAGAGGACTACTATGAGGAGGCGGATAAGGAGGAGGAAGAGGAGGGGGAGGAGGAGGACGA